CATAGGTGTGCCTAGTTGTTCGTGAGTAATCAGTTTTATTTGCATGACCCTATGAAAGAAGCCGTTCAGGAATGGCGCATACCCGATTAATCCAGGCAGGCTTTGAAAACCCGCGGCGGCAACTACCCCGAGCATAGAATTGGCGGCTACATTTTGGTAGAAAGCGGTTCACTTCAAATACGCATTCCCATGCCTCAAGACATTCCACAACTGTATTAGAACTGAATAGCCTCTCTCAAATTTCGAACAACCTTTGAACAGCAGATGGAAATGATTAACAGGATGCAGACCCTGACACCAGTGATTTCTTTGACTTTTCGAGAAGTCTTAAGTACTATTTTTACGGGTTATGCTTTTTTTAAAAATTTCTGAGACTGCGCCAGGGAAGTCGATATGACGGTTCCACCACATGCTGCTCAATGGCATTAGAACTATTATCAATCGCAATTAGGAAAACTTCGATAAATAGAGATTTAAAGCCCCGACTTCTCGACACTTATCGACACAAACCTCTTCGGCATTTCAAACATCTGTCCAACAAAGTGTACCAAAGCATTGCTTTTTGGCGGACATGATTCAATAGATTCAGGCGCCCACGCTAATCTCCAAGATTTCTCGATCATAAATAAGATTACGGTTGGCGGTGGTACCGATTAACATCGCAATACACGATACCAATATGGCCGAAATCAACAACGAAAAACAGTTGCAAATAAAATTTAGGCAGAACAGGAGACCTTTTACGAAACGAAAGGACAAAATTTACATCCCACTTACTTGTCACCGATGCATGTGGCAGTCGAAATTAATTAGACGCCCATCCAGCTAAGGGTGTATATAAGTATTCATACTAAAGAAAGGCGTAAGAAAGCACCACTTTAGACAGACACACAAACAGTAGTCCTAAAACAAGACAGGTAAGAAGGTTCGGGAGGTTCCGATGAGTATTAAGAAGGAAAACTGAGGCACAAACTATGAGGCCGTGGATTTCACCGCATTTCCACGTCGCTGACGAACACCGCCATTTGTAGTTTCCAAAGCGTTATCGCCAACTTCGGCATCGGCAAAACTCAACACCTGCTCGTCCTTTGCCACTCCTTCTTCCATGCCTCCCTTTGGTTCGGCTCTTTCCCCATTTGCCGCTTCCACCTCTTTACCGTCTTCTTTTTTGTCATCCAACATTTCCTTGCTTACTCCGAACTCGTTCACACGTTTTGGGTCGATTCGGTAGATCCAGCGTTGATAGAGGTATATAAAGAATATTGCATCTAAGCAGAAAAGGAAGGAGCTGCAATCACAAGACTCAAGACGGCATGCCAACTAGACATGTTTTTGAATTGCGTTTGCTTTTAAACACTTTCAGAGGATTACATCGCCCAGTTACTAGACAGCCCTTAACTCAGGAGCTTAACAAATAGCGATGACTTAGAAGTACGCAGTCTGCCATACTAAACGAATGCGATGAAGCCAATCGCCATTCAGTAAGAAACCCTGACGCACGTATACAAGCGTAAAAGAAGCGTATTTTTTGGTTGAAGCCTACTTGTGCCTTTACCATCCAAAAGTATTCAGCTAAAACGCAATTTCACTTCTCTTTAGTCGGCGAAATCCCAGTTTTGAGCCGACAAGTTAGGCGACTTATTTTAACAAACATTCACTTTTTGTACTGTTATACAAAGTATTGAGAATACTTAATCTAGAACTTAAATTGAACCTTCCTCAGGAGAGCCAAAAAATAAGGAGTAAATCAAGCCAACTATTAGAAAAGTTGAATCACAAGGCATTGCCGAAAACACCGGAGATCCTGACAGTCTTGAGAACTACCGATTGCAAAACATTATAACCCACTTAATAATGGCTGTAAATAAACCCCCACTCGCCGTGCGGCAATTTTCTGCAAGTTTACGTGTCATCACTTTAGTCACCTGGTAGTGTTAATTTGCTTGCAAATTGGCATTCGAAAGGGATGATAGAGGCATTGTGACTAAAAGAAAAACGCTATGAATAACGGTAACCGATGTCCTTGTGCGTAAGTACATGAGGAACTATCACGGAAATGGTGTTCCATTCGCTCTACCTCAACTTCCTTGGAGTCCCTCTGCCCCATACATCCAATGCAGTAAGAGTACTCAAAAAAGACACAGGGTTGGACTTAAAATGTGATATGGGTTATGTCAGTCCCGATTTTAGACGATAGCGATAACCCATTTGCTAGGTTCTAAGAAAAGATACCAAATTTCTGTTCGATACTCAACTGGATATGAAAGTAAAACATAAAGTAGCAGTAAAAATTGCCTCTATGCCTACCGATATGTCCTCCGGATATCCATCACCTACACATAACTTACAAAACCTTGTCAAGGGAGTTAATCGCTAACAGCAGAGCGAATGAACTAACATTTGCATTGAAATGTTACTGACGGGGATATTTTGGCGAACAGATTAATGCGAGCAAGCAAGGTACAGTAATTGTGGGCCAAGTTTCCACACTGTTCGCATTTACTAAAAATATTTGAATGTTAGTTCTCATAAATGATGACAGAGGGGAAGGTTTCGAAACAATGAAAAGCCTCTAAGCAACAGTGGTTTAGCGAACAAGGTTGATGACCTAGTTTCATTTTCGGTGATCGTCCTCGGCTCTCAAGGAATAGCCTAAAGTCAATCGGCATCCAAACTTGACGGAACGTTTTTATGTATTTCGAAAAACTGCTGGAGCAAAGGGTACAGATAGTTTTACTGATGCCAAGTAGGCATTTGTTCGTAACGCAAATGTTCACAGGGCAAGTATATTAGCAAATATTATGAAGGGTACCGAATAAAGGGCTGAACATTCATCTCTGCTAATAGTTGAAATCACAAACTGATAAAACAAGTTGAAGAGGAGACGCAATTAACGAAGACCTCGTCAGACAGTTGCCCTTAATTTTAATATGCTTAAAAAGGCTTCACTGCCTTTTTAACAAACCAGGAATCCATTCTCATTCATTTGCATCCCAGACCGCTGAATCGAGAGGAGCGTAACATCACAAATAGGATGGAGAGTGTAAAAGTGTGACAAACTAGAGTACACAAGTAGAAAGCTGACGTTAACTTTAGTTTCGTGGGCGAATTCTGAGACTATCTACAATATCAGGATGTGCAAAAGGTATATAATCAGAGAGGTCAACCGAATTCTGTTCCAGAACAAATGAAAGACACCGAAAATGTACCAACGGCAGTGAAGATGATAAGCCGCGGATCAAAAGTCGTAACGATAGTAGAAAGAAATACAAGTCAAAAGTGAATACCCAGAACAGAAGCGTTAGCCTTGCATTTATATAGATCCAATAAATAAATAGTTTGATCTGGCCCAAAATAAAAGCAGTTACCCAATCATGTCAAGCAAGTCTAATGCCTTAGTGGTATGGCAACCGACCTGGCTGGCAACAGGAAAAGCAGCATAGGGAAGACGTTGCACATAAACAGTGGGATCACATCCAAAGAATCCGTCAATACATAAGTTTCATTAACTTTGGCTGAGGACACAGTACCGTCAAAGTTTCTGCGAGTAATACAGGTAGGGAAGGGCTACTCGATAAGCAGCTCTCAAAGCAAGAGCGAAAAGCTGGAAAATCTTAATCACAAGCACCTCGAGATAATCGATAATTGTTTCGTCTACTGTACATCATTACATACATGCGCCATCAACCCACTCCTTTGCCAGAATGTTACAGCAACCACCACCAAACCATTTCTAAATGTTTAAGCTCACACAGAACAAACAAATTTTATCGTGAAGAGCGCACGTTTCCCAAAAAAATTAGGCATTGTTCATACAAACAGCGAGTGATCGCATAAAGGCTATGCAATTCCATTAGTAGATCCGGGTAAGACAGCGATAATTCCAAATGGTTGGTGCCGAACCAAAATAATCGCACCATGAAGACATGTATATCTCTATTCTTATTGGGAAAAAACGGGAAGTGTCAGGCGTAGAGGAAATGTCAGAAGATTCAAAAAGCACGTACCATCACGGAAACAGCCGATGCGATAGAGTGTGGGCGTTTTGATAACAAAAGCAAAGAGATCATCGATGAAAGTGTTGAGTGCCTTGTAAGTCAGCATGCGCCAAGGCAGATGTGCCACTGATTTGAGCTTGTAGTTGATGAAAAGTTGAGGTGTCATTGCGATGAAACCTAATGAATACAAAAAAACAAGAAATTCACACCGGTTAGCTCTGTACACCAAGTACATCTACGAATGAGAACCGGTGAAAAACAACACGCCATCATCCAATCACGATTAAGTATATGAAAAAAACAGCACAAGATTACAATAAGGCTGCTCAAAAGGAAACTTATATCATTCTGCCAAAAAGCACAATGCAAACATAAAATAGGAGATGAATTTCCTTAATCCTAGTTTAGCTATGTGGTGAAGTTGCAATAGGGCAAACATAGACGAGCACCACTTTTAAGAGGCTTTTAGTGTTTAAATATACTCCTCATACTAAATGTCTATGAATGTTTGGAGCGTTTGCTTGTACACAAAAA